TAACACACACACACACACACACATATATATATATATATATATATATATATATATATATATATATCACATGTTCTTCATTCATCTACATTTGGATATTGAATTGACTCCAAATCTTGCTTATTGTGAATAAACACGAGTGTCTCTTTGACATACTGATTCCATTTCCTTGGCTATATGTCTAATGGTGGGGCTGTGATGTTTATAAACACTACTTTAAGGGACCTCCCCAGGAAGGTTACACATTTCAATTACATTCCATTGGTCCAAATTCTCTCACATGGACATTCCTAATTATAGAGGATGGTGGGAAATGTGGCCATTATGTGGAATGGCTGCAGACCCAGTGGAGAGACAGAGGTTACCTTATTGGAGGAAACAGGATGCTAGGTATTGGGGGAGGCGAAAAAGAGTATCTGCCGTAGAAAGTATCACTCTGAAGAGCAAGGAGCTTTGAGCTCAGCAGTCTCAGGTTTAAACTTGAGTTCTTATTTAATAGTTATAATGTCATGCTCAAGCCTCTTAATCCATTTGATTTATTCTGATTCACCATCTTGTATAAAATGGTATAATATTCACCCATAGGGATGAATGAAGTAATGTATGCTCAGTGTTTGTCACTGCGGCTATTACATTAGCCCATACACTTGCATATTTGGCTTAATTTTCTTGTGTAAAGGCATAGCTTAAGCTACACATGGTCTAATTTTTACTTCTTTCATATTCCAACTAGAGAATCAGTAAGTCTGGCTAGGGCCAGTATAGCTGGGGACATGATACACAGATGAGTGTCTAAAGGGGACAAAGCAACTTGCCTAGTGTTTGCATGGCTTTCATGCTATCAAAATAGGGGGACAGAATAGTAAGAATAGCTCAGGGAAAACAGTGCTAGGCCAGATACACACCTAAGGGAGAAAGATCCCCTGTCCTGTCACTAGAAGTAGGCAGCAAGGCAGCAGGGCTGAGTGCTTGGACTCTGAGATTCCCTGCTTATGAGGGAGGATTACTGGAATATTCTCAATGTTTTCTCTGTATTAACAGTACATACTTACCTGGACTATTTCAAGTTGTTCACAGGAAAGGGAGGTGTGGTGTTGGTTCAGACAGGTAGAATTTCAGCCATAAACATCCCCTGGTACTTTCCATGGTTGGACACTGAGACCAAGAGGCTTGCAAACATGACACAGTTTCTGACCTGAAAGTTGTTACCACCCGTGGAGAGAAGCAGACAAGAGTAAACACAATAGAGAACATGAATGTTCCCGTAATTACCCCTGCTGGTGTGTGACTCTTTCCTTGACCCCATGACCTATTGAGGCCAGTGGAATGTGGGCAAGGAAGAAGGGGTTAGTTCCAAGCATAGCATTTCTTGCATCTGTCTGCATTGCTTGGCCATTCCTGAGAATGGGTGTTTATTGCTTGAAGGAGCTGAGACAAACATGGAGCCGATTTGGACTCCACCTGTGTCTTGGAGTCATCCTCAGCCCTGCCTAGTCTTGGCTAGTCAGCCTCTATATGACACAAAGACTTGTGAGTCAGAACAAATGATCACTTTATGTCATCAGCGTTGGGGATAATCTGCTAAACTGCCTTGATATGGCAATGGTTAACTTGTATAACCAATAGTTGTGTGGTATGGTGTGAGAAAGGCCATGGGGAGATTTAGATGAGCAATTGATGGATCATTCTTAGGGTATGAATGCTTCATGAGATTATATATGATATTCACTTTTTGGATACTTATTCCTTCAAGATATTCTTTCCCCTCCTCCAACCAATGCTTTAGACCAGGAAGCTAGCAGTGTGTAGAATCTGTAAGTGCATGTCAGAGACGTGTAAACTGAGAGTCACTCTCTAGGGAATGAATTTGTTCCTTGGTGTCTACGGGTCATTGACTCAAGAATCGTCTAGATACTGAAGATTAAGGATGCCCAAGACTGCTATAGAAGATGGTACGGTCCCTGTTTATGAGTTGTATAACCCTACTATATTCTTTGAATCGTGTTTACGTCACTTAGGATATCAAACACAAAGGAAATGCTAGAAGTGTGGTTGCTGTAATGTCTGACTTAGGGAATAACAGCAAGAACGATTTCTGTGCTTGTGTTGCAGAGATGCTGAGAAAGAATAGCATCTTTCAGAAAGGCCCAGTTTCCCAAGTGTGTTTTCTGACTTTAGCAAGTAGTCTTAGCAAATAGCTATTTCAGATACAATACCATTCTGTGAAAGGGAGGGACGGTGGGAAGAAAAGTCCTAAGTACAGACCTTTGTGAAATGTCATCAGGACTCTTTGGTGAAAAATCTTCTGTCATGGGTCTGTATGGGTCCAAGTCTCCAAGGCCTCTAGGTCTACAACTCTCTAACTCAGACAAGCGGACTCTCCGCTCCACACGGTGCCTCACCACACTCTCATTCCCTCTTCAGACTCTTCCTACTCCCATACAGAAGGCTGGATTTGGGGATGCAGCTGAGATGTGTAATTGTTTTTCAAACCCCTGTTTCTGTTGGAATTTAGAAAAAGCAAAACACTCTAGACAGGAATTCCAGTCACTCATCTTTAAGCTTATCTCTGAAAGGGCACACTGGTCTCACTGTTTGCTGACTGCCGGTTGGAGTCATCTGGGGGAAAGAATGATTACTGATTTGGGGATCCCCTGACAGCCGCAGTTTCTCAGGGTGTTAGGTACTTTTTGAAAGCTTCCAGGTGGTTCTAGCGTGCAGCAGTGCTGAGAAACATGAATCCCGGTGAGTGGGAACTTCCTGAGGAGACACGGTGAATCAGTACCTGGGGAGCAAAAGTCTCCTAACTTAACGTGTGCTACACGGATCCATTATGCATGTCAAGTCCTGGTTAGATGCTGTGTGAAGACACAGAGGGGTAAGGGGCAAAGGGCTGTCACCTCTGCAGACTGTGTCCATGTGCTTCAGCAGTAACAAGTAAAAATGCTTGGTCCAAATACACTATGCAATCACACTGACATACCAAAGTAAGACTCATGTACTGAATTTCCCCATTCCGGCTTTCAAGTTGTGAGGTGTTTCTTCCTCTTTGACGGCCTACCCCCATTTATCCCATCTTTAATGAGGCTGCAGTCAGGAAATCAGCCGACACTCCACCCCAGGCAAGAGAATTGATTTCCATCTTGGGAAATGACAAAGAGAGAGAGAGAGAGAGAGAGAGAGAGAGAGAGAGAGAGAGAGAGAGAGAGAGAGAGAAAGAGGAATGATCAAGGTGCAGGTCTCCTTTTCAGCAATAGCCCAATGTAAAGACAGGCTTGATAACTTCTCAGAGAACCGAGAAGGATGAAGGGATGAGCTCCGTGAGTTTGACTTTTGTCTTGCCTTAGAGGTGTGCTATTACTGCACTATGGGCCAGCAACCAACTCATGGCCACATAATTAATGTTCAGAGACCCAGCAAAGATGTAGTTCGATACATGTCAGGGTCCCCACTGAGACCTGGAGAACTCCACCTTGGAGCTAGGTAGAGAACCGAACATTATATGACCTGTGTTTCCGAAGGAATGAAGGGCTTTAATGTCAAGTCTGTTCACTGCGATCAGGTTAGGCCTTCTTGAACCTTTATCTGGGCACTCCTGAAAACATGCCAACAGTGTGCCCAGCTCAGTGGAAAGAAGGGCTTCAGTGACTACCCATCTTATCACACAGGCTACCCCAGGTTCCTACAGGAAGGTATTCGCCTTGAGGCAGATTCTGACCCTTTGTCAGCTCTGGTAGAGGCCTTTAAGGCTTCTAATCACAGAGTAGGTGGAAGGTGTGAGAAGAAGAGTTTAGAGAAACCTATGAAGCTCTGGTTTCCCTGACTTGACTGCTACCTCAGGGCAACCCTAAATGGCCCCTGGAGATCTGCAACCAGCTCCAATAGAAGCAATGACAGTTAGGTCAGAACCAGTGTGCATACTGTCAAAGAAAGGGTCACCTCAGAGAGGACAAGCTGAGTGGTATCCTGCACTAAGCCCAAGCTCAGGTATGGTCCCTTAAGGGGGAATATCACCACCTGGACTGAAGAGGCCTGAGGATCCTTCAGGCTCTACCACCCTCCTCACAGAGTCATTATCACACCAGCAGAGCCTCAACTTAGGTAACCCTTGGCCAGCAAACAGGGCAACAATTTTATTATATAAAGAGTTTCCTGCTCTATTCTAATTCAGCTTCTGGACCTCCACTGCAATGTCAGCTGCCAAATGATGAGTATAAGTATAAGTGGGCAGCCTAAAGTAAGGAGTTTTACTTTCCTTCCAGTTGGTACCTGTTTCTATCTTTCTTTAGAGAGGATGGATAGGCTACTGTAGAGCCAGAAAAGTCTTCATGAGCTAGCTTGCTTTGATGGTTCATATGCATTCCTAACAGACAGTCTATGAAAATACAGCTTGGCTTTGGAATTGCTAGTAAGATTTCTTGGACATAGATCCCTTAGACCCCACCCTTATCTATGAAGATAAAAGGGAGCACCCTGGGACCCAATATTGATGCAAAATTTGAATCTCTTCAGAGCCACAATCCTGTGTGCCTTCTCACAGTATAATCAGGACCCACGGGAAGCTCCCATGCTTCCTCAGGGTTGGGGATAGCCTCCATCTTTATTGGCAGTGCTTAGGTCAAAGTACTAAGAAAACCATGCTAAGAAAAAGGAGAGGACTGCAAACATAGATACATAGATAAGTGCCATTGTTAGAATCCAGAGGAAAATAGTGTGCTCCCCAGGCATGGCCAGCTTTAGGTTTGTAACCTATACTGGCAGGAGAGGCACCAGGACCACAAGTCACCAGAACGGTCAAGGAGAGATTTCGATGCCTCTAGTCTTTGAGCTGCCAGAAGCAGATAATGTCAGTGGAGAGCTGTTAAAATCTCAGAAGATAATAATCTTGAGGGTGGAGGGTGGAATGGGATAGATGAAGAAAGTGCTGATTTCTCAACCCTGCTTTCTATCTTTAATGAGAAACAGGCTCTGCAGGATAATGCTATTTAAGCCATTTCCCTCACAGAGGGACTTCACTTCTGAGCAGTCCTGGGTGTCCAAGGAGAGCATCTCTGATTGTGTAGGCTTCCCTCCTTGTCCCTTCAGAGTGATCCGGGGACTCTAGTCTGTGTTCTGCTCCCTTATGGCCACCGGAGCTTAGTCCCTACCAAAGCCTCTCTCAGAAAGAGTTACTTGCTTTGTTTCTACCTTGAAAGGAACGGAAGAACCCGAGGCCGAGGAGGCACAGTACCTTCCTGTGAGTTGTGGTCCCGCTACTGGCAGGGCAAACGGGTAATAGAGAGGGCTGAGTGGATGGGTAAAAACGCGAGGAGTTCCTTTTGCTGACCTTTCATCCATTATCTGTTAAATCTGCCAGTGGGGAGCCAGGAAAAGCTCCATGACAAGTAAAACCTGAGGACCTTTTGGCTTCTAGTGATTTTCTGAATTGTTCGCAAATTCAGCAACCGAGTTGGGGTACTGTAAGATGGTAGAGAAAATGAGGTGAACCCTATCTACATAGAGCTTGTGTGTGTTTAATGAAGAATGTTGCAGAAGACCACAGATCCAGACAGGAGACTATGGAGGGTGGTTCAAGGCTTACACTGAGGGTGGGGAGAGACCTCACTCCGAGAGTGGAGTGTGGGCACAGGCCTGGCGGACGAAAGGCTACAAATAGTGGCCCGGGACAGGGGCTGCTGAGATGCATTTCTGGAAAGTCAGACACTCAGGACATGGAATTTCATTTCCA